GGGGCGGGGCCGGGGCCCCGTGGAGTGTCCTCCTTTTGGACACTCAAAATATGGTAACCCTAAGCTGTGTAAACCTTCTTCCCTCATCTCCTGATCTGGTTTGTCCCTGCATCACATGATGTCATACTTCACTTAGGTTGTAAGCACCTCAGGGCAGGGAATGGGCCTTCATGTTCTATGCAAGGTGCAATGCACAGTGTTGTGCTGTGTATAAATGCTAACTAGACAAATAATAGTAATAAACAAACAATAATAATAGGATTTCATAACAACAAAGGCTTTGCCATAATCAACAGACCACTAGTGCATCAAGTCACCTGTCTCCAGCATTGGCCAATAATATCCATTCATTTAAATTAAGATGGAAAACACCAGGTTCCCCTACCCTCTGAACTAACATACCTGACCAACCATGTTTTGCTATACTGGGGGTGGGTGGATTATTTCTTGAGCCTCACCACGATCAGTTTACACAAGCCTGCGAGAGATCTGATTTCACCGCAAAATCCTTCTGTGCATGAGAAAGTAATGCTAGTTCTACCGAGAACTTCAAGAGCTAGCAACTTTAGGCAGAAACGGGTGACACAGCATCTTAAAATCCAACCTTCTGCAAATCCTGACGTGTGACATGTTAAAAGCCCTGGGAGCTCTGCAAAGAGTTGCCATCTGTAATGTGCACTGATGCAAATGCACATCCAAACTGAGAGGCTTGCAGGAGGGAAGACAGCAAAAAGAAACATGAGATGGGAAAGTCTGAGAAAGATTCAACATGCTGCAGAACTTGAAAGCCTCAGCAAGTTTATGTCCCATTTTCTTCCAGCGGTCCCTTTGACTTCCCTTCCCCTGCTCAAACTCTTTTGGTCTTCCAGGACCCCAGTGCCACTCCATTTCTGCTTTTCTTCCAGACCCCTTGCTTTCAAGACCCCTGTAACCTCTTGCTCCTGTGCCCCAGCCTTCCATATGCTTTGCTTCCAGGCTTCTCCCTTTCCTTCCTAGGGTACATCTCCACTGCACGGTCAGTCCAGGCTTGTAGGCAGGTTCTAGCCCCAACTGCCCTACCAAACACACAGCAAACTGTCTGACCCAGGTTTGGCAGTCCTTTAAGACTGGGCTAGCTTACTTGGCTGGGTGGAGTGGGGTGTTAAAGTCTGGGATTCACTTTCATTCACTGGAACCCACCCACTTTGCAGTGAGGATGTAGGCAAAAAATCACCCAAGTGCTGACAGTCCTCCAACGCCTTCCCACAATTCTCTGCAGAGGACAGAATTTCTCTTGCAGTTGATGTAACTGACTGGAAAGAATCCTAGAGCATCTCAGTGCAAAGAACCATGGGCTATGCCCACGGACACACATGGACAAGTACAGAAATGTGAGGACACAGTAATGCAAGTAGGGCTTTGCAATGGGGGCACTGGCCCCAGGCTAAGCGAACCTGGGTGCTCAGACCTAGATGACAATCACCCAAGCTAACTGCCAGGAAGACATATCCTCATGCATCTCCCCATTCTCTTCATGCCTCCTGGTTTCCTCTTGTTCCCTTTCACCATTTACCCAGCCGCCTGACTTCGGAATACCCCATCAATTCCTTTCCTTCCAAGCCCAAATCCCTTCCCATTTCTTTTCTCCCAGGGCACCTGATAGTTCCAGTTGCAGCAAACATTCCATCCTATCCCATCGCTGTCTCATGAGAGTCTCCCCCACTTCTTGCCACCTGCTATCACTAAAATATTTACAACTCTCTGCCGAAGGGGGTGACTTCTAGGAATAGAACAGTGTTAAATAAATAATGACTCAAATGTTGGATAGAGTTGGATAGTTTGGTTGCAAGAGATTCTGATTGAGAGGAAATGAGCGTGTTAAGGAATCCTTTTAATCTGCCTTGGAGGAGATCTTGCCCTTGGTTATTCTCTCTTTCTGGGAAAACACCAATCCTTGGCTCCTTTCAATAGCACAATCACATTTGTTTTGAAACATAATTCATGTAACAAATGTTTGTCAGCTAAGCTGTGGTTACTTATCACAAATCACCTCCCAGAAAATAATGCCTCAGTTTGCAGAAAAAATTTGCACACAAAGGAGTGGGGTGGGGGAGGGGAGAAATCAACATTGACACGTGATGCCACCTCTCTGACAATGTCAAATTATTTTTCTGATAACAACATTTCTATATATTTCCATGGGGTGGACTGCAGTTACAGCACAGAACCGGGATTCAGGAGACCTGGATTCTATTGCTGGCTCTGTCGCAGTCTTCTTGTGTGGCCTTGTGCAAAAGACTTAACCACTGTGTGCCTCAGTTTCAACAGCTGTAAAATAGGACTAAATAAATAACTCTGCCTTTTACAGTGCTCTTCACAGGTGGTGGCAAAGCCCCTTTCTGAGGAAGAACTGTTATCTCCTTTTTACAGAAGGGGAAGCTGAAACTCAGAGAGGTTAAGTCACTTGCATAAGACCACAAAGCAAATCACTGACAGTAGCAGGAGAGAAATACAGGTCTCCTGACTGCTAGGTCAAGATCTGAACTGTTAGACCACAATTCGGAGTGATAATGGTATTTCCCTGCCCCTTGGGGTGTTGAAAGGCTTAATCCATTCGAGTGCGTAACGTATTGAGAGCCTTAAACGGAAGGTGCAATAGAAGTGTGAAGTATTATAAGAAGAGAATAGATAGATAGATAGATAGATAGATAGATAGATAGATAGATAGATAGATAGATAGATAGATAGATAGATAGTCACCTTTTGTTGTTTGAGGGCCCCCGGAAATTTTTTTTAAATGTAGTGCAACTTACACTGAAATAACATCAATTTTAAACAAAGAACCACCCACTGCTTCTGTAGTAAAATACAGACTTTTATCCAGAGAATAAGTAACAAAGGTATAGCCCCCTACAAACTTCCTGATCATCAGTATGCAACACACCATGCCAACTTTATAGCAACAGTGGGGATACAACTCGTACTCTCCATCTTCATAAGCAGAAGGAGAATCTCTTTTTGCTGTTAGCAGTATAGCACCTATGACACGGAGTGAAGCAGTTCTGATTCCACCCCCCCAGAAGGCAGCAGTACACATACACACTAGCCAAGTATCTCAAGGAGCTTTACAAACACTAATGAATCAAGCCTCACAACTCCAGGACAAGGTAGACAAGCAACCTCAGCTGCGGTCACACAATTATCACACTGTAACATTAGGAACCAGTTCCAATGTTGAAGTGATGTGTATATGGCACAGGGGTTAAGCAGAGCTAGAAGGAAACCGGCTAAGATGCCCTGTGTGGACAGTAGTCTCAAAATGGGGGAGCTGTCCCCAGAGGTTCACATTGCTAATCTAACCCCTGCCTTTGAGTCCTCCCCATCCCACTTGGAACTTGCCTTTGTATCCTTCCCTGCTCACCCAGTGGCTCTTTCAGAGGTTCACCCAAACCCATCTAATTGAACACCTGCTGTTTTATCCTCTCTGCCCCAGCTTGTCAACCCCTCAGAGGGTCTAGCTGCTTATCTAGCCCTCCCCTCCCCACTTGAACTTCGCATTTTCCCCCTGACCAGACAGGGAGTCCCGCAGTGACCGCACCTCATCACAGCCAAATCCTGCATCTTACCTCCTGGACCATTTGGCAGACTGCCTCCCAAAGGGTCTCTTCCAGAGCACGCCATACAGCTGCACTTTGGTGCTGATATCCAAGACATCCGAGTCTGCCTGTTCCATGGACGGAGAAGGGGAGACAGAGTTGGATTTTGAAGTGAACATCGTAGACGGATTTTATTCTAACTCTCCCCCTGTGCCTGGCAGCTCAGGGAATCCGATTAAATGCAACGACCCAGAAGGACATCACCAGCCACTCCTACAGAGAGACTGAGGCTATGGTTTAAATCAATAACAGGACTGCTCAGTGCTCAGGCAATAATTTTCCCCCTGATGCAGAGATGATGAAAGTGTCTTCATTTCGTATCACTTTGTGATGCATTACGGAGAGCGCAAAGGTCCCAGCCCATGAGTCAGAGGGCTGAATAGAGCCACAGACCAGCAATAGAGAGCGAGAGAGAGAGAGAGAGAGAGAGCGCACAGTCAGAAATAATGCAGCAAGCCTAATTATCTGTGTGAGAGCCAGGGTGTAAGGATGGTTATTGCACTGAATGCTCAGGAGCCCCAGATGGGAGTCAGAGGGGACAGTCTGCAAATTGCCAGGCTTGTTTCTGTGACACATGCCCCCAAAGTCTTGTGCCTGTTCATGAGTTCTTCTGATTGGCTCGTAGGGCAAGGTGAGCAGAGTGGGTGTGAATCAGTGAGTTCCAATCAGACTTCCTCATCTATTTGGAGAGGTTTCCTTTCTGTGCCAGTCTGGAAGCCAGTGGGTAGGGTTCACATGCTCGCTCTGGTTTGAACAGGTATGGTCCGTGACACCAGTCTCATTCTTCCTTAAAGGGCCATTGCCAGCAATAAAATAATATATTATACAACTCGACAATTCCAGCTCTGGGACTTGGGACACATTACCCCTTCTGTTGCTCCAAGGCGAGCTTCACCACTCCATTCATCTCCTCTGACTCCATCACCAAGGAACAGCTCCCCAGCCATCGCCCACTCCACGCAAAAGTCCCTCCAAGAGACACTTCTTCCCCAATGCTCACAAGAAACCACAGAATAATGTTGTTTCAAGTTCCTGCATCCTGCCTTCTCTGTCTGTCTCTGACATTGTTCGATCTTTGGGGAGGGATTGCCTTGGTTTTGTCTTGCCCAGTGCCGAGAGCACATTTTGATGGCAGCATCTAACAAATTATAAAGACAAGAAGTTAGAAGTATTATATCAATAAGAAGTTTTGTGCACTGGTAAAATCAGAGTGAAAGCTGGTGAGATCTAGACAGGGGTAGGCAAACCCAACATGCTGTTCCTATTTTCTCTATGTTGAGTCCCTTCTGTTGCATTACATTACAACTCTCTCTAGACCTGCCCCTGAACAGTGCCAAGAACATGCCGCTCCAGCTGCAGTCAGTGGGAGCTTTGAGTGCTCAGCCCCCCTCAGGATCAGGCCCACAATGAGGTGTGTGTAGACCACTGAAAACCAGGCCCTGCCTCCTGTGCATCCTTTGCCTATGCTGGGTACCTTTGGGTCACTGTGGAGCAGGCAAGCACATCACTCAGGTGGGCTGCTACGTTGACTGCACCTGAAACATTGAGACCCGAGCAACTCTTCAGGATGCTGTTCTGAAAATAAGTGATTGCTTGTGTTGGAGTGGGGGTCTGGGAGGAAAACAGGGAGGAGTTCAGTTGGAATCATACTGCACGCAGGATAAATAAGAATACTGGGTCCAAAACATCCACCTTTAGTTACCCGTGCTCCACTGAAATCAACTCACATAAGGACTACTTGGATGAGTAAGGGTTTGAAGGATCAGCCCTCAAAATAGGATTGGTATCAGTGAGGGAAAGTAGGGTTGCCAACTTTCTAACTACACAAAATCGAACACCTTGCCCTGTCCTTTCCCCAAGGCCCCACCCCTCACTCACTCCAGTGCCCCTCCTTCAATCACTCCACTCACACACTTTCACCGGGCAGGGGCAGGGGGCTGGGTTGGGATGAGGGCTCCAGCTGGGTGGGGCCAGAAATGAGGGATTCAGAGTGCGGGAGGGGGCTCCAGGCTGGGGCAGGGAGTTGGGGTGCAGGAGGGGGATGAGCGCTCTGGCTGGGGGTGCGGGCTCTAGAGATGAGAGGTTGGGGCTACAGGTGGGGGCTCCAGGCTGTGGCCAAGGGGTTTGGCGTGCAGGAGGGGGCTCAGGGTTAGGGCAGGGGGTTGGGGTACAGGAAGAGATTCAGGGTGCAGACCCCAGGAGGGAGTTTGGGTGTGGGAGGGGGCTCGGGGTGTGGGTGGGAGGTGTGGGGTCTGGGAAGAAGTTAGGGTATGGGAGGGGGTTTTGACCTAGGGCAGGGAGTTGGGGTGCAGGAGGGGGCTTGGGGTGCAGGCTCCAGCCAGGCAGTACTTACCTCAGGCAGCTACCGGTCGGTGGCACAGTGGGGTTAAGGCAGGTTCCCTGACTGCCCTGGCTCCATGCAGCTCCCAGAAATGGCCGGCATGTCTGGCCCCTAGGTGGAGGCACGGCCAGGAGGCTCTGCACACTGACACTGCCCTTGCAACTCCCCTTTGTCACGGTTCCTAGGTTGAACAGACTGAGATGGTCTTTGGGAAAGACAAGCAAGTATGTAGACCATTTATTGGTTTAAGATCTGTTTTATCTGAAATTCCTTTTTTCTAAATACTTTGCTTGAAGAAAATGTTGCTTTAAGGTTACCACTGTCATTTTGCTCCCAGAGGAGACAGACTGCAGGTGCTGAAGATAAGTCAGATCTCCAGACTTAGGGCAGGAGGTGAAAAGGTATATGGTGTGAAACTCAAACAACACAGGCAATTTTAGACAAGAAGAATCCATTTTCTCAAACCGGGAATGTGGTCAGCACAAGGGAGTTAAAACTATATTCTTAAAAAAATAAGTTTCCTGTGGTCATTTAATGACCACAAGTACTCAAGACCTTGGCTTTATACTTCAGCATCAGCTGATAGCACATCCAACAGCACTGACTGCATATGTAATGGGTTTGGAGACAGCAATACGCTAACATTACGTATAGTACCTCAGCGTACCTTTCTGCTGTGGTATTTAGCCTTATCAGGACTCAATACATTATGCAGAGTTAAATCTCCGATAGGAGAGTGACACAATATTTCTAAAGGAAAATATTTACTATATATCGATCTGTGAATACATATGTTTACTTATACCCCTTGAAACCACTATGAATATGGTCACTAACAACTCTTTAAAGATAACACTTTCGAGGGGGGTTTCCCGAAGTTTTAGTACTGTCACAATTGCAAATACAAAATATAATTATGCACATACATATACATACACAAATATATTCCCTTAGGGCTCTTCTCTGGGAGGATTTACACTTCCCAGTCATTGTAGGATGGTGTGCTGATTCTCTGTAGGGACTGTAACCTCTTTAAAGTCCAGGAAACAGGCTATGGTCTCTCACATTCTGCTTCAAACTCCCTACGTGGCTCTGCAATGGCAGTCTTAATTTGCAGTCTGCAGCAATTCTAGTCCTCTTCTTCTCCAGTGGGGTGAAGGGAGCCTACAGTTTAAATCCAACAAATTGGCAAGATCCCTGGAATACAACCCTTGTAGCAGACCCTTCCAGGCCTTGTGCTGCTCCACCACTGAGTCTCCCACACTGGCTCCCACTCCTCCTATATATAAACCCTCCCCTTGAGTTACACAACACTTCACTATTGTGTCAGAGGGAAGAATATTACCTACCAAATCATCAATACTGGCATTTGCCTTAGAGCTCTCCCATCCAAGTTTTGCGCAACCCCAATCCTGCTTGTACGACACAGAAGTAGTAACAGCTACCAAGCCTGTCAACTATACAGCATTTTGACTGGTGCAATACATTGTGTCATGTTTGTTACGTTAATTAGAATATTGTATTCTTGCTGGTGAAATGCACTTGAAAATAAACGCCCACTTTCCTGTGCTATAAAGTATATCAGTGATTATTACTAACCAATCAGGTAGTGTAAAAATAACAAACAAAATAAAATATGATCCACACATGCATTTGATCTTGTCAGAATTCCACAGACTCCAGGTGTCTGAAAGTACAAACTAAACCCCAGGCAGACACGGGGGGAAAGTAGTCTGTCCAATCTATCTGTCTAGGTTCTTTGCTGGCCCAGATCACTGTGACTGTGGTTTTGGATACTAGATCTCCCTACACACAGAGATTAATATTGATGAGGCTCTACATGGTAGGACTGGTTCAGGCTCCAAAGCACAACAATATTTATTCTTCATAATTGCTCTCTTCTCTTGTATGATTAGCTGAGGTCTGAGAACTTCAGCATTTTCAACTTACTGTGCGATCTCTCTGGAAGAGAGGTCTGACTTCCTTTCTTAACTCCTAGCAATACTGAGAGAAGTTAGCAGGCTGTATGCTGTCACAAATATGTATTTTTGCAAGTCAACAGTGGGCACTGAATAGGTCTGCTATAGGGTGAAGTCACTGGCTTGGTGATCAGATTGAAATCTAGGGCAACGGGAAACTGCAAACCCTGTGAACTAGGCATGGATTCGAATAACAAATCATTTTGGCAAGTCAGAGACCATTTGACATGGTGTATGTGTGTATTTTCACTGGCATGACCAGCTAATGAAAACTGAACTGTGAAAGGTTGGGAGTTGGATTCAGAATGTTTGGGCTTGAAACAAATAACTCCTGTTCCCTTGTGAGCAAGAAGTAATATGAGAGCCGCATGTCACCTAGCACTTCCATATTTCTGCTCCCTGCATCTAGTGGAGGAGACAGCACAGGGAAAAGGAAAAATTGAAAACATTAACCAAACTTTTTCAAGTCTCAGAAACAACACTCATTTCAAGATTTAGTAGGTGGTACTCATCCATCTGAGGCCTTGTCTACACTAGAAAGGGTTTGCTAGTATAGCTATACTGGCAAACCCTCCTAGTGGGGACACAGCTTACACCACTTTTGCCAATATAATTGTGTCTACACTAGGACTTTTGCTGGCATAGTAAAGTTTCTTAGAGGATGATTTTTTCCCCACACTTCTATGCTGGCAAAACTTTTAAGAGCAGATTAATTCTTCACTGACTCAGGCCTAATATCCTGTCATGGTGGGGCCACTCCTCTGCCGGAGGAGCTGTCTTTCAGATGAAAGATAAAGCTAAAATATTTCACTAACTGTAGTCAGTAAAGATTCCACAACACTCTCTGTAGGAGACAGGGTGTTACCTCCATTGTTCTGCCCAATGTTGCATTGCCTATAGAGGAAACTGTATTCTACTGATCTTTGGGCTTGTGCCACAAACTTTAGATCTGGATCTGAGCCACCCCAAAGTCTAAAAGGGTTCAGATCTGGTGTTTCAGTTTGGATTTGTCTTACTAGTTTCAACTGGATGTTGTGGCTGTTTCCTCACTAGGGAACCATTAGCAATTGAACCAGCTTAATGAAATAAACGGAGACACCTACCATATATTTGGTACTACAAATATAGTTTAAAAAAAATAGAAGCAGCAGCAGCCCAGTCCCCATTTGATGCGAAAGTTGCCTATTTATTTCTGAAAGTTACTTTCCAGCCTTCCAAGTGCTTAGCTCTGTGCAGAGGATGTTTTAAAATGGGGGAAGGCAGCATGCTGCCAATCCATCCACTCCCATGTGACACATGGATAGATGGAGTTTGTTCTGCACACCATTATAATTTTTAATACCTTGGATGGGAGGAAAAAAACAGCTGCCCTGCAGAGCTTAGTCATAAAAATAAAATGCCTTTGGCAATGCATTCTGGACCCAACACACACAGACTGGCAAATTTACAGCCTCATCTGACATCTTCCTCTGGTGAGAACATATGGTCTGTGTGACACTCTGTACCTCGTGAGAACACCCTGCACCCCATGTTCATCCTTATAAAATGATTGTGTGGTATCCAATGCAAAGTTTGTCATGTTGGGTGTCTTCAGAAGGCTCATGATGCACTGAGCATTGTTGTTATAGTAACGTTATAGGTTGTAATTTCATGTATATAGGTATGAGACAGAAAATGTGTCCTCATGGCTAAACAAACCCAGACAAAAACTCTCCAAGGGCAGAGGGGAAGTTCACACCTCATCAGGGCAGGTATGGGACAAACCCAGCCCAGCCTCACAGGAACAAAGGACACTGGCCTAGGCAACAACAAAGGATCTGCTGGACTCTCGAGTGAGTCACCCCCCTTCCTTTGGTCAGTTTGGGACTGCGATGAGGTAATGCTCACCTGACTCGGGGGGGGGGGAGGGGGAGAGTAAAGCCAAGAGGGAAGAAAGGACACAATAAAAGGGAGAGACATTTGCCATGCTCTTCCTCTCTCTTCCACCTCCATCTACAGACACCACCACTAAGAAACTGAAGCACTGATCAAAAGGGAGAGCCTGGCTAAAGGGCAACCAGCCAGCCTGTGGTGAGAAGCATCTAAGTTTGTAAGGGCACTGGAAGTGTTAAGATCAGCTTAGAATGCGTTTTTGCTTGTGTTTCATTTGACCAAATCCGACTTGTTATGCTTTGACTTATAATCACTTAAAATCTATCTTTGTAGTTAATAAATTTGTTTGTTTATTCTACCTGAAGCCGTGCGTTTGGTTTAAAGTGTGTCAGAGACTCCCCTTGGGATAACACGCCTGGTATATATCAATTTCTTTGTTAAATTGAAGAATTCATATAAGCTTGCTGTGTCCAGCTGTTACTTGGGGTTCTTTCAACCCAAAGCTCTTGGTAACTTTTACACTGTATGAGGTAGTGTCAGGAAATAAATCAAGGGAGACACGGCCATCCGACCGATAGATGGCTGGCACAAACAGGGCAACACAAGAGTGTTTTCACTCAAAGCTAAACTTTACTTAGTCTCAAGCACTTACACACGTCCGCAACAAGTTAGTAAAACACCCCTAACCCATGATAATTACCAAAGCTGAGTGTGGTTCTCGAGTGGCACAGCGGCAGCCTTCCGGGGGCCAAATCTTCCATCTGCCGATGGGGAACACAAGATGCATCCAGAGGGAGAGTCCCCCTGCCTCAAACTTTTTCCCCTTATTTATCCATTAGTAATACAATGACATGTCATTTAAAGAAAACTTGTTAAGCGAGCAGTTTCAAAGGTCAAGCAAGAGGTTTCCTTCTGGTCATCGATTAACCAGGTGTGGTTTTTTTCAGAGTTTGCAGCCTTGAGGCCCCTAAAATGCATGTATCAGCAACTTCAACACAAATCTTATCAGGAAGGATGCGGGGTCAAGCTGCCCTTTCTGTGGCACCCCAAACCCCGCTCCCCTCCTGCCTTGGTTAAGCTAAGGCTACTGCATGGCCAATTTACGGCCTGCTGACTTTTAGCAATAAGCAATAGTGGTTTCAGACAATTTACTGGTTTGCCAAAATCTCCCCGTACACAGCGGGCATAACTGGACACTGCAAGACAGAGGTTCCTAAGGTTGTGTCTGGGACCAGAGATGTTGGCTAGTGTCATTCGGTTGCACAATCCAAGGAGCAGCTTACCTGCCAGAGGCTGTGTGTGAACAGCCCAGGAGTGGGGGTTCTCTCAGCAGAGCAGGCTCCCAGAGTCAAGGATTGAAAAAATTGCTCCGTGGAAGATACCCCCAAATTCTCATAAGAGGCTTTTCCCCATCGCATTTCAAATGCCACAAAATGAACTGTATCTAGACTACCAAGCTTTCTAACAAGCACACTGTTAAACATCAGAGGGGTAGCCGTGTTCGTCTGAATCTGTAAAAAGCAACAGAGGGTCCTGTGGCACCTTTAAGACTAACAGAAGTATTGGGAGCATAAGCTTTCGTGGGTAAGAACCTCACTTCTTCAGATGCAAGTCTCTTACCCACGAAAGCTTATGCTCCCAATACTTCTGCTAGTCTTAAAGGTGCCACAGGACCCTTTGTTACTGTTAAACATGGTTTTTCCCTTCATGTGGACGTATTCTAAAATGTTAGCTGGTCGACTCACTGTTCCCTCTTCATGTCACCTTTACGGTAGTGGAGTCCAGCATACCAGTGACAGAAGCCTGGAGGACTAATGCTTGCCAATCACTTCTTTAGAGTACACGTATCAAATAGCCAGAGACTAGTCCCCTTGCTCATGACAGGGGCTCTTATTCACAGCTCATTCGCGATAGCATCTGTTCGGCTTTGTCTTACAGTCCCTTTGGCCCTGATGCCACAGAACATCCTACCCTACAAAAAAACCATTGAGGCACCATGTAAACAGATAGGCCTGGGTCATCTCCTCCTCCTACAGTAAAATCCTCAGCTGGGGACTCTGATAGGAAGTCTCAGTGAAAATCCCCTCCTAGAGATTCCAATTTTGTCCTGCTGTTTAGCAAAACGTTTTCTTCTCCCCCACCCCCAAAGAAAAGGCTGTGGGCTCTGTCCACATCCAAAAACCTTGTGGATCCCCTGAGATCTGTGGGAGGCTAGGGCCATCTGCAGAAAGGCCTTCCCCCCACTTCCTGGAAGCACCACTCCAAACAACACTGTCTGCAACTTCCCTAGGCTGGGAGGAAGGCAGAGGAACACTGTGGACATGACAACACAGCCTGGAGCCCCGCTCTCCCTTCTCATGTCTCCCCCTCAGTATGGACACTGGACTAGTGGAGAGCCCTATCCAGTGGCCACAGGGGAGGATGGTGCTGTGGAAAGTGAGGAGATCTTTGTGCAAAGGGTCTGCTCCATCATGCACAATTCAAGGTGGGGAGGGCATGATCTGGTCCGCAGATTTTTTAAATTATTGGGAAATGTGTTCCAGTAATCCGAGCACTCCATCTTGGGGATGAGTAGTGAACAACAGCATGCAAAAGAAAAAAAATCCCAAGGACAAATCTATAAAATGATGATCATGACTGTTACATTTTCTACCTAGCAAGCACACCATGTAAATTGTATTTTTCTTTCCTACAGCATTTAATTTTACCCAAACTTCCTATGCTTGCTGTTAGCACTATTCCACCCTCCTCCAGGCATTACAGCAGCATCAAGAACAGTGGCAGGTACAAAAGGAAACTGATTGAACAGGATAAACATAACTGGGGTAATAAATTTAGTGAACACCAGTGGAAGCTTTCTATAGAAAGAATACACACGTCATAATGTTCCAAAAGCTACCTGGGGCCCAGCAACGAACTTCCAGAGGCTTTCATAGCCCATGCTGTCTTGGAGACCAGAACGCTCCAGGGTCTAATGAATAAACCATAAAGGCAAGCTTGCTATTCATAGCAGCCATTTATTTGGAAGAGCATGAGTATTAGAGGCATCTACTGCTGATTCAAGCCTGTTGTTCATTTCCAGTCCAGCTTTCCTTTCAGAAGATGGACGGCCTTGCAGTGAAGGCACTAACTCAGGGCTCAGTAAATCTGGATTCAATTCCCAGCTTTACCATAGAGACTGTGTGTGTGACCTACAGCAAGTCACTTAATCTCGCTGTGCCTCAGTTCCCCATCTATACAATGGGAATTAAAATACTTCCCTAGTCCCCAGGAGTGCTGTGCGAATAAATTCATCAGATTACCTCAGACACTGTTTTGCAAAAGACAGCTTTTGCAAATGTCAGGGCTTCCACCTTCCAGGGTTTTCTTGCAGGACAACTGCTAGATCATGAGGTTTTTGATAGTGAATGTCATTACATAATTACATGATGTCACACTGTGACAAGTATATCATCAGATTCCATTTGGGATTTTTTAAACATCTGACAAGTTAGTCTTGGAGCATCTGAGGCATATCTACACTGGCAGAGTTACAGCGCCGCTCAGAGAGCACTAAAGGGAAACCACTGTTGTGTGTTCACACTGTCCAGTACCTGCGCAATAGCGTGTTCACACTTGCGGCACTTGCAGAGCTATTCGGAGCGGTGCACTCTGGGCTGCTATCCCACAGAGCATCTCTTCCTCTTCTGCTGCTAAGACTTATGGAAAGGCGGATGAGGGTCAGGGGTATCCTGGGTCCTGTCCCAATGCCCCATGATGTGTTGCTTCGCATCCCAGCAGTCCCTGTGCTTCCGTCCGCATTTGACGCCATCTTTCAATGGTTTGTGTACTGTGCACTCTGTCTCTTTCAGGCTGCAGGAATGGATCCCGAACTGTTGACCGGTATGCTGCTCGCTCTGACCAACACATCACGGGTGGTAATGGAGTTATTCCTTAAAACTACAAAGGCAAGAGGAGTGTGACATTGATCTTGTCACACATACTAGCTACGACATGAGATTGCTTGTGGCATTCGCGGATGTGCTGACCACAATGGAACGCCGCTTTTGGGCTCAGGAAACAAGCAGTGAGTGGTGGGATCACATCGTGATACACATCTGGGATGACGAGCAGTGGCTGCAGAACTTCTGGATGAGGAAAGCCACATTCATGGGACTGTGTGATGAGCTCGCCCCAGACCTGCGGTGCAAGGACACGAAAATGAGAGCTGCCTGCTGTTGAAGAAACATGTGGCGATTGCACTGTGGAAGCCGGCTACTCCAGACTGCTAATGATCAGTCACTAACCAGTTTGGAATGGGAAAGTTGACAGTTGGACTTGTGTTGACAGAAGTGTGCAGGGCCATTAATTGCATCCTGCTGTGGAAGACCGTGACTCTGGGCAACGTGTGTGAGATTGTGGATGGCTTTGCACAAATGGGCTTCCCTAACTGCGGAGGGGCGATAGATGGCACAAATATTCCAATTCTGGCACCAGATCACCTAGCCACCAAGTATATTAATCGCAAGGGGTATTTCTTAATGGTTCTCCAGGCGCTTGTGGATCACCGTGGGCATTTCACAGACATTAACGCAAGCTGGTCCGGAAAGGTGCATGACGCACGCATCTTTTGGAACACTGGCCTGTTCAGGAAGCTGCAAGCAGGGACTTTCTTCCCAGACCAGAAGGTCACTGTAGGGGAAGTCGAAATACCCATTGTGATCCTGGGAGACCCCGCCACCCCCTTAATGCTGCGGCTTATGAAGCCATACATGGGGCAACTTGACAGCAGCAAAGAGTGGTTCAACAACAGGCTGAGCAAGTGCAGAATGGCTGTTCAGTGTGCTTTTGGCCATTTAAAGGCCCACTGGCGCTGCCTCTGTCGGCACAGCATGGGGCCATAAGGATCAGGGATGCCTTGAGGCACCAATTTGAAGCTGAAAGCCACTAATATTTGTTGCTATGCTTGGGAGTGCAGTGCTTATAATACTAGGAGGTGATTGTGATTGGTGCAGACAAAGCAATATGAAGGTTTAACATAATTATCTGTTGCTTTGCAGGGCTCTGTTTGCTTTCCATTAATAGAATAAAGATTGCTTTCAAACCCACACAATTCTGTTATTAAAAAAACAACAACCAGGGGAGAGAGTCAAACAAAAACAAAAAAAACATCAGCAGTGAGGGGGATGGGGGAAAGAGAAGGTCCCAGAAAGACGTGGAGTCCCAGGATGGCTAAAGATTTGTGTATGTCCAGGGATCATATCCAACCTTCTCCTTTGGAGTACAATGCAGCGGGTACTGTACTTCAGCAGGGCCAAACTGCAGATGGACGGGTGTTGAGTGCAGTGGGTAGTCGGAGTCCGCAGTGCTGGACTGTGAGGGGGGAGGAGTGGAATGCCGCCAATATAGACTGGAGCCAGGAGGGTGATAACAACATGTTGGCGGTGTCTGGTAGGAGCATGGGAAAGAGTTTTACGACAGCGGCTGCAGGGGAGGGCGGTTGTGGAGCTGCTCGGTTTGCAGTGCTAGTATCACCCGGAGCGTGTCCAGTTGGTGTTCCATAACCTTTAAGAGCCGCTCTGTGGCTTCATCCTGGCTATCCCACCGCTCCTTCAATTCCTGTTTCTCGGCGGCGGAGTGCATCATAACATCACGCAGAAAGTCCTCCTTAGTTCTTCTTGGACACTTTCTAATTCTGCGCAGCTGTTCAGCCACTGATAAAGAGGGAGGCTGGGCTCCCAAGGTCATATCTGTGAAGATTAAATGCAACATTTTACAGAAGCAGTATTGTTTACTACACACAGAACTCTGATTCAGTGGTTTAAAACACAGTCAGTACTCACACACCTGTCACTAATTAGCGGACCCCAGGCAAGCACACGAGCCA